TGGGGCTGGAGGAGGACAGTGGGGGCTAGTGTAGGGCTGGGGGAGGACAGTGTGGGCTAGTGTGGGGCTGGAGGAGGACAGTGGGGGGCTGGGGAGGACAGTGGGGGGCTAGTGTGGGGGGGGGGTAGTTCTGGTGGTATAATGAGGAGGGGAAGACTTAAGTGGGATTGTTTCTAGTGAGGTGACGGCCAGTGATCTCATTGTTCTCGCGGATGTCTGGAGGAGGCAGGTGTGTACTGGTGGAGGCACAGGGGCATTTGTGGTAGGTGTCTGATGGAGGCATAGGGGCACTTGTGGCAGGTGTGTACTGGTGGTGGCACAGGGCCGAGAGTGAACTGACAAAGAGTATTAGTGAATGTAGGGCAGACAGTTAAGGGTGGTGAGTGTGAGGGGCGGCGATGGCAGGAACTTGTCCAACTTGTCCTCTTACAAATTACGTCTGCATTTGGCCGTTTTCCTACATACGGGCGAAAAGAGATGTTATTTTTAAGAGGACGGGTTACAGTCTTTTCTCCCCTTCTGGTTTTCACTAAACACTGTCACAGTTTAGGCTACATTGGGCCACTGCTAAACTTTAGGCTAAATTCAGAATATTGATACTAACACTTGAATTGTTCATGTTTGCCTATATTTCACATATTTCTGTTCTTTGCACACGTGTTGTGTTGTAGTGTTGAGGTGCACTCGGGAAGGAGTGTGGGTAAGCCATAGCTGTCAGGTTTGTCCTTCCAAGTTGACGCACAATGGTCCAGTCATAGAACTGAGCTTTTTCAGTTTTTGTGAGAGTTCCGGGACTCATTCACTGTAATAGCCAGCTTAGGCCAGGTGAGGAAATGTAGCATGTTGTAAGATTCAGTTGTGTACGCAGTTGTTCTTGTAATACTGCACGCAGTAATGTGCATACGGACAGCGTTGTTGTTGAGCCCCCGGGTAGTGACACGGCTGCACAGGAAGTCATCATCAATGTTACAACAGCTGTACAAAGTAGGATACAGGTGTATTGGCCACACCTGTGGCCAATACAAGACAGGCTCATTATTATAATCATGAGTACTATTATTGGCCATTCCCTGACAAGGTTTCTCTCCTGGATGTACCCAGTTATTTTTATATTTTGTACTTGTCTTTAGTGTGTAGGTTTCAGGTCTTGTAAAATGTTGGCTTCCCAAAGCGGGATTTTCAGCTCTGCACCTCACGTGTGGCTCTATATGCACCAACCGGACCAGAGACCAGCCAGCTGTGCCTCACGTGTGGCTCTATATGCACCGGCCAGGCTGCTGTGCCTCACATGTGGCTCTATATACACCAACCGGGCCAGAGACCAGGCTGCTGTGCCTCACATGTGGCTCTATATACACCAACCGGGCCAGAGACCAGGCTGCTGTGCCTCACATGTGGCTCTATATGCACCAACCGGGCCAGAGACCAGCCAGCTGTGCCTCACGTGTGGCTCTATATGCACCGACCAGGCTGCTGTGCCTCACATGTGGCTCTATATACACCAACCGGGCCAGAGACCAGCCAGCTGTGCCTCACGTGTGGCTCTATATGCACCGACCAGGCTGCTGTGCCTCACATGTGGCTCTATATACACCAACCGGGCCAGAGACCAGGCTGCTGTGCCTCACGTGTGGCTCTATATGCACCAACCGGGCCAGAGACCAGCCAGCTGTGCCTCACGTGTGGCTCAATATGCACCGACCAGGCTGCTGTGCCTCACATGTGGCTCTATATACACCAACCGGGCCAGAGACCAGCCAGCTGTGCCTCACGTGTGGCTCTATATGCACCGACCAGGCTGCTGTGCTTCACATGTGGCTCTATATACACCAACCGGGCCAGAGACCAGCCACCTGTGCCTCACGTGTGGCTCTATATACACCAACCGGGCCTACTGTGCCTCAGGCTCATGTCAGCAGACACAAAATGTCTGCTTATGTCATCATTTTCCAGCTTCCACACGCAGACTTGACTGTCAAGAGGTCTGGTGGTGTGCACCTTTTAACCTGGAATCATTTGATGTGTTGACAAGTGTAGATGTATGTATATATACATGTTTTGTTTACGTTGATTACATTTTTCGAAATTAGATTTAATTCTTCCAACATGCTAAGAAGAGGGATGACTGGCAGAAGGTGATAGTAACGTGTTATTTCTATATGCTTTGATGCCATTTTTTAAGGAGAGCTATATTCATGTACTTAAACATGTGTTAGCTGGAGTTTTTTTTATTATTATATTGCCTCCAACACCTGTGTCTATTTTTAGAAGAGCCTCAATGTCTGTCTCTCTTCCTGACCTTGAAGTACTTGGTCAAAATATATTGTGCGCGCGCGCTCCCCCCTCCCCTCCCCCCTTTCCCCCCCACCTCTCTCTTTCTCTCTCTCTCGCTTTCTCCCCCTCTCTCTCTCTCCTCTCTTTCTCTCTTTTCTTTCTCTCTCTCTCTCTCCCCCTCTCTCTCTCCCTCCCCCCCCCCTCCCCCCCTCCCTCCCCCCCCCTCCCCCCCCCCCCCTCCCCCCCCCCCCCCCCCCCTCCCCCCCCCCTCCCCCCCCCCCCCCCCTCCCCCCCCCCCCCTCCCTCTCCCCCCCTCCCTCCTCCCCCCCCCCCCCTCCCCCCCCTCCCTCCCCCTCTCCCCCTCCCCCCCCTCCCCCTCTCTCTCCCCCCCCCCCCCTCCTCTCCCCTCTCTCTCTCTCCCTCCCTCTCTCGTCCTCTCCTCTCCCTCTCTCTCTCCTCTCTCTCCCTCATCCCTCTCCCCCCCTCTCCCCCCCTCTCTCTCGCTCCCTCCCTCTCCTCCTCTCTCTCTCTCTTCCTCTCTCCCCCTCCCTCCCTCCCTCTCTCCTCTCTCCCCTCTCTCCCCCCCTCTCTCTCTCCCCCCTCCCCTCTCTCTCTCTCCCCTCCCCCCCTCTCTCTCTCTCTCTCTCTCTCTCTCCCCCCCTCCCCCTCCTCTCTCTCCCCCCCTCTCTCTCTCCCCTCTCTCTCTCTCGCTCCCCCTCCCTCTCTCCTCTCCTCTCCTCTCTCCTCTCTCTCTCCTCCCTCTCTCTCTCTCCCCCCTCTCTCTCCTCTCTCTCTCTCCCCCTCTCTCCTCTCTCCCCCCTCTCTCTCTCTCTCCCCCCTCTCTCTTCTTCTCTCCCCCCTCCTCTCTCTCTCTCCCTCCCCCCCCCTCTCTCTCTCTCCCTCTCCCCCCCCCTCTCTCTCTCTCCCCCCTCTCTCTCTCTCTCTCTCCCCTCCTCTCTCCTCCCCCTCTCTCTCTCTCCCCTCTCTCTCTCTCTCCATCCTCTCTCTCTCTCTCTCCTCCTCTCCCCCCCTTCTCTCTCTCTCTCTCCCCCCTCCCTATCTCTCCCCCCTCTCTCTCCTCTCTCCTCCCTCCTCTCCCCCCCCTCTCTGCTCTCTCTCCTCTCTCTCTCTCTCCTCTCTCCTCTCTCTCTCCCCTTCCCCCCCCCCCTCTCTCTTCTCTCTCTCTCCCCCCTCTCTCTCTTCCCCCTCTCTCTCTCTCTCCTCCCTCTCTCTCTCTAAACCCCCCTCTCTCTTGTCTTTCTCTTTCCCTTCCCTTCTCTCTCTCTCACCCCTCTCTCTCTTTCTCTCCTCTCTCTCTCTTCTCTCTCCCTCTCTCTCTCTCTCTCCCCCCCCCCCCTCTCTCTCTCCTCCCCCTCCTCTCTCTCTCTCTCCCCCCTCTCTCTCTCCCCTCTCTCTCCTCCCACCCTCTCCTCTTACCTTGTAATGTTCAAAGGACCAACAAAAATGCCTAGATCTGTATTCTCTTGAGCACAGGTGGGAGAGATACATAATATTCACACAAGGACAATAATAGAGGGGCTGGTCCCAAACCTGCACACAGAAGTAACACCACATAAGACCAGAAGGCATGGCAGGATGTGCAGAATACCCCTGTTGACTAGCTGAAGTGCAATAGGTACTCTTGAGAGAATTCTATCAACATCTGAGGCCAGGTTTCTACTACTGTATATGCTTATATCACCTTTCAAATTATATTATATATATATATTTTTTTTTGTACAGCCATTAGTACGTGTAGTGTTTTGGGCAAGTCCCTGAAATACAACAGCCACGAAGAATCGTTTTTACAACCAAGTACACATTTTTACTGTCGAGTTAAACAGAGGTTACAGTTAAGGATTTGCGCCCAGTAAATCCTCCCCGGCCAGGATAAGAACCCATGACAAAGCGTTCGCGGAACGCCAGGTGAAATTAAATGTTACTCGCTTTATGCAGAAAAGGCAAGTTTTATTTAGACTGCTGTGCACCTGTTTAGTCAAGCCTCTATTGTAATGATTTGTATAAGGTGTTATAATATTTCTCAAAGTTTCTGATTCCGATTCTACGAATTTACAGAACCATTGTTAATGGTAATTTGAATTGTAAAGTGGGAATCGACCATGAGAAACTTGTGATTGTATATTATGTTTTGTGCAATGAAGGAAAGTTTTGTAATATTAAGCATAAGGGTATACAAAAATTCATCATGTATTGTGGAAGCAATGAAAGGGGAGAAGAGGAGTAATTAATTATGTACGTGTGGAAAAACCAAGGTAAAGTATAGGATACAAGAGCAATAATACAGTAGAGACAAGTATATCTCTGGAGGTCAGTGAGAGTCTTATGCAAGATTGAACAGTAAATAGAGAATGGTTCCTCTCAAGGATGACGTAGGTTGAAGAACAAAATTTGAGAAGTTCAGAGACAGAGGGTCATGGATTGCAGTTAACTCCATTGCATTCATATAGATATATTATAACCATATTTACATCATTTGTATAAAAACTGAGTGATGATAACTAAAATCAGCATGTATAACCACATTACCGTTCAGATCAACATGTGTTGATAATTACACTTTAAGGGTTAAAGGCTTGCTGTAAACTTTGGATCATATTCTTATTTACTGTACAATATTTGGAACCTCTTACCCTTTGAAATTTGTATAACTTTTAATTCATATTACTTCTGGTTTGTTGTAAAGGTTTGATGTTCTTTCCTTGCAGTTTCCTTGACCGGGTCCACATTGTCCGACAGCCAGACTACACTCCCACTGAGCAAGATATCCTACGCTGCCGAGTCCTTACACTAGGAATTTTTGAGACCAGATTTCAAGTAGATAAAGTTAATTTCCAGTAAGTATCAGTTTAGGTTAGGTTATTTGACTGTCATTTTATGTCCTTAAACCATAGTCACAATTCCTCAGCACAGGATAATTTTGAAATGTTATCAGAAGTGATTTTAATTCTCAAGCTGAGCACCCTAAATTAAGTCAGTTTCCTGGTGCACCAAAAAAAAAATCCATTCTATTTTGTAAGACATTTCTGTTGGTGGGAATTTTAATTTTACTTTGCCCGTAGTGAGGTTGAATATGTCAAAGTTTAAGACTGAATTTTTATGTTAACTATTTGTAATAGATTTCTGATCACCAATAACTTCCAGGTCCATAAAACTCCTTGCAATTTTACATTTTATGGTTCCTAGCATGACCATCAGTAAATGGGCAGTGATGCCCTTGACATGGTGCCTATTTTTGTACTAATTCCCAGAAAGCAAACAATGGCTTTCTGGATTTTTCCAATATGACAAGCGATTGCCAGCTGTTACTAGTGTGAATGATAACCATATGTACAAGAATGTAACAACTCTTGTATATATCTCAAAAAAAAAAAAAAAAAAAAAATATAGAATCCTTAGGTCTAACGAACATTAGGAGCATTAACCCCTGCACTGTGTGCCTGTATTATATGACCACTCCCTTGTGTGCAAGACAAAAATTCAAAATTTGTTCTAATATTGTTAAAATGCATTCCCTGATCATGGTAAAAAATTAATGTAATTTATTTTGGCCATAGTGGAAGGATTTCAGCAGATGCCTCGAGGAGGTTGCTTGGTGAATGGCAGGAGCTGCCACCAATATATTTAAAGTGATTTATTTAAGTGTCCTTGATTTAGTTTCTTACTGAATTTTTGCAGTCATATTATGCAATAGTGTGTCTTTATGAAAATTTCTATAATAAAATGTGTGGAACATCGATATACACAAATATATTCATGTTACTAATATGCGGACAACACTATAGTCTTTGAACAATAAATAAAACTTTTTTTTTTTTCAAATATTCACACTGTATTCACATAACTGTATACAGTACTGTACATGTTTATGCACCATTATCAAACCACTAATTTAGAGGAGATTCGGAGGTTTGCCAGTCCCAGAGCTAAGAGGTATGAGTTACAAGGAAAGGCTACAGGAATTAAACTTCTTGACCCTGGAAAACAGAAGAGTTAGAAAAGATATGAATCACCACCTACAAAATTTTCAGTAGAATTGACAGGGTAGACAAAGGCAAACTATTTAGCAATAGGTTTGCTGAGAGAGAACTCTTATCAACATCGTAAAAATGAGGCCCTTAAACATAATACAAGGTACAAAATGCAATCAAATCTGTCCATAGTAGGAAAACAGCATGTGAAGGATTTTGGAATAATGATGTCTGACAACCTAACGTTTAGGGAGCATAACCAAGCAAATATTACGCCAGCCAGAAAAATTATAGGATGGATTACGAGAACATTCATATCCAGGGATCCCATCACAATGGCTGTACTCTTCAAATCACTTGTGCTCTCCCGTCTTGAGTAATGCTCAGTACTTACTGCCCAATTAAGAGCAGGAGAGATTGCTGAAATAGAGGGAATACAGAGAACATATATGACATACATAGATGCAATAAAGCACCTAAATTATTGGGATAGTCTCAAAGTTCTCCAAATGTATTAACTAGAAAGGAGACGAGAGAGGTGTCAAATAATATATACATGGAATTCTGGAGGGCCAGGTCCCAAATCTGCACAGTTAAATAAAAACTTACTGGAGTGAACGATATGGAAGAAAATGCATAATAGGACCAGTGAAGAGCAGGGGTGCTGTAGGCACAATCAGAGAATATTGTATTACCATCAGAGGTCCACAGTTGTTCAACATCCTCCCAGCGAGCATAAGAAATATTGCCGGAACAACCGTGAACATCTTCAAGAGAAAACTAGATAGTTTTCTTTAAGGAGTGCCAGACCAACTGAGCTGTGGTGGATATGTGGGCCTGCGGGCCGCTCCAAGCAACAGCCTGGTGGCCCAAGCTCTCACAAGTCAAGCCTGGAACCGGGCTTGGGGAGTAGAAAAACTCTCAGAACCCCATCAAGCAGGAATTCTTCATGCAACCGTCAGTCTTCCTTTATGAATGCATTTGCCATCAGGGAGGCTTTCAATGCTAACCTCCTATGGGACCTGGCTTATGCCTTGGTGCTGGATCTGGTTTCTTTTCAGTATGGCTCCTCTCCTCTTCTTAGGGAGGATTTTGTGGTTCTAGAGTTTCCTGGCTGGCAAATTTTTCTTTCTTCGGGCTTGGTGTGGGTTTTGTCGTGCCTGCACGTTTGAGTGGTGGGATGTTTCCACGGTGTTGCTGATGTTCTCTGGAATATCTCAATGAGTGGGGGGGGATTCACGAAAGGCAAGCACTTACGAATCTGAACTTCTACCCTCAATCTTTGGTGGCTTTGTTTACAATTATTAAACAGTTAATGAGCTCCGAAGCACCAGGATGTTTATAACAATAACAACAGTTGATTGGCAAGTTTTCATGCATGTTTAATAATGTAACCAAAGCCGTCAAAGATTGAGGAAAGATGTACACGTTCGTAACTGCTTGCGTAAGTGCTTTCGTGAATCTGGCCCCTGGTCCAGCTGGTTGGTCAGGTTCCCACTTTTTTGGCTGCTTTGACGGCGGATGACTTCAGAATATCTGTATTTTGTCCGCTGCCTTGCCTTTGCTTCGTCTTCTGGAGCTGTCTTTGAATTGGACTTTGGAAGATGTGGGAGCACTGGGTCTGGGGGGTCTGTCTCTGCTGCTTCATGGTTGTTTGCCTTGCTGCAGCTGTTTGTGGCGATCTTTTGGGAGGCAGTTTCTATGTTTTTAACCTATTAACTTGTGTATCGACAGGCTATGCTAATCCTGTCGTTAGCTTCGGCTTGGGCCCTTGCTTCCGAGTCTTCTTCCCTGTTTTGTCCTCTGTTGCTCCCGGAGGACTGTGTTGCTCGGTTTTGTCGGCGGCTTCTGCTCTTGCAAGACCTTCAGAAAGGTGGTGCCAGGGCTTGGGGCCTCATTTGGTTATGGTAGGCCTCTGGGGCCAGTTTGAGAGTCAGTGAGCTCCTTGATCCCTTCTTCACCTGGTCGGCGCGGTGTTCACTCAGTGCAAAGGTCGGCATCTCTGAGTTTGCGTCGGCCCTTTTGCAGGTAGTCCCATTGTTGGGGCAGTGGGGGAGGCTCGCTCTTTTGTTAACACCTAGTCCCACGATTCATGGGCTTTAATTGTCGTTTCTTACGGCCTTCAGTGGTGTTAGGCGACCCTTCCTTCCTTTTTTATTTTTTTGGGGAGGGGAGCTCCTTTCACTCCTTTCTGTCCTCCATCAGAGTGGGTTTGCTTGTGGATGATTTCCCCTGGACCTCAGGGACGTGTATTGGCCCTTCCCTTTCCATCTGAGATTCAGTGGTTGGTTAGGTTTTGTCATGGGGCATCGTGCTTGCCACTTCCGTTGTCTCCCTTTCAGGTCGATCTGGCACCTCATGTTTTTACGCGTTTGACTTGGGTCATAGTGGTCCATTTTCGTCTGCTCGGTCTTCGGGTCTTGGCCTACCTCGATGACTGGTTGGTGTGGGCTCCCAGCCAGTCTGTTTGTCTGCTAGCCAGGGATTTGGCTCTTTCCCAGCTTGCCAGGTTCCTGTTCCTGGTGCACTGGGGAAATTCCCAGATGGTCCGATCCCTGGGCCTTTGAACTTGGCAGGGTCTTGTGTGGGATTCTCGGACTGCGTCCCTTTCTCTCCCTCCCACGGACTTGCTACGGTTGCTGTCCCACCGTCGGCTGTTTTAGTGGTGGTCACTAGGTGGTTGCTCGAGCAGCTGTGCGGGAACCTTGTACTTTGCTCTTCTGGTTTATCCACTGGGCAGGGTTTGACTTCGGAGGCTGTTCTGGTACCTTAGGAGCAGCCTCTTTTGCGATCGCTGGGTTGAACCCCTGGAATCCATGAGCCAGTTACCAGCTTCCTCTTTGGATTTTTCGGGATTCGATGCCATGGCACCTTCCTCCTCTCCCACTTGATGTGTTCACAGATGCCTCATCAGTTGGCTGGGGCATTGTGACCAGTGCTCACCAGTTCAGTCAGTGGCGTTGGCGCTGTCCATGTGTCTCTCTCATAGCACAATGTGGGTACTTTGCAGTAGTATGGCTAGTGCTGCAGAGGATTCAGGTTCCTGGAGGCTCAGTGATCCACTCCATTTGGACTGCTGCCCTGTGTTTCACTGTCTCAACCAGGGGGTCTGCCATCCTTGGTTCTTTGGGGCTCGAGGATCCGCTCCATTCTGACTGCTTCCCTGTGGTTCCCTGTTTCAACTGGGGGTTTGCCATCCGTGGCTCTTTGGGGCTCTAGCCAGTCTGCAGTCTACCCCTCATGCCTTGATGTGCTTTTGTAGGCCATTCTTTAGGCGCTATTTGCTTCTCATTCTTGGGCCATTCTTTGAGTGTGGGTGTTTTGGTAGTCGCACAGGGTCCTAGCAGCTGGGTGTCTTGTGGATATTCTCAGTCTTTTGTGGCTTTGTGTGATCTTGGGTCATGGTTTGCGACCATTGGTCTCTCTTGTCTGGTTGCCTGCGGTGCTTCCTTCTCCCAGGTGTGTAACCTTTTTTCTTCTCTGTGGGTAGCTAGCTTCAGGGAACCTCAAGCGGCAACCTCCCCCCCCCCCCAGGAAATCACCATTAAGTGTAATGAAACTCCAATTTCTGGGCGAGTTCCGGAGGCTCCCTGACACCCTCCCTCCCGCAGGACATTGGGTTTATCATCATAAGAACTAGGGTGAATAGGCCAGCTGGGATGGTTTGCCTCCCTCCCCCCAAACAAGGGAAAAGGTGGTTTCAAAGTTTCACAAATTTTTTATAGTTTGTTTACACTGTTGGGGGGAGTTCTTTTGGGCTGTTTTGAGACTGCTGCCTCTTTCTGACTATGCAGTAGTTAGTCCATTTTGTATAATTGACTTTCTGGGTGCTTTCCCTGGTGGTGGCAGAGGTAACTTTAAATGAAAGATGTTCAGAGTGCCACCGTTCCCTGCACATCTTTAAGGGGACTAGTTTCTGGCTCATGATTCCCAGTAAACCAATAAGAATTCCATAACTAATGGCACCTAGAAGTATGGAACTGAATCAGTGTAATAGCTCCTGGGAGCCTCTGGGGCCCACACAGAATTTGGCGTTTCATTGCATTCAACGCTGGTTGTATGCAGTTTTAAATATTCAAACAATGACAGCCACTCATGATTACATATACTAAATTTGCAGTATGTTTGATGTGGGTGGACAGCGAGATGAAAGGAGGAAATGGATCCAATGCTTCAATGATGTCACCGCCATTATATTTGTCACCGCTTGCTCGTCTTACAACATGGTTCTACGAGAAGATCCCAGTCAAAACAGGCTACGGGAATCTTTAGATCTCTTCAAAAGTATATGGAATAACAGGTTAGTGTCTGCTTAGGCTAAATGTTTTATTTGTTTGCATTTTAAGGCATTGTTCATTCATCCATCTTTTAGTTGGTTTCCTCCTGTCTGATTTAGTAAATTTCTTCTGTAGGCAGTGATTACTTTGTTGTGATAGTGAGTTTGCATTGTCTCCCAGTTGAAAATATTTATTTAAAATTTCTTTTAGTTTTAGCATCAGTTCACAATTAAATCTGTCTCTGCCTCTGTTGCTCCTGCTTCATGATTTACTTTATATAGAAAGTAAATCATAAAAATGCTCAGATAAATGGCAGGAGTAACTTCAGCATTCTACGAACAACACGTCCCCAATTTCAGTTCTAACTTCCTGAATATCGCACAGGAGGTTTGGGTTATAGGCCTTATTTCATAAAAACATTTAACTTAGGTCTATCCTAACCAACCTATGTCCAACCCATACCCCAAACCATTCTCCCTGCAAATTTGGGTGAGGATAGCCCTTAGCATCTTGCCTCCAACTTTGAACAGAGTCATTCTCATATTGGTGTGTGTAAATATATACATATACAGAGTGTCACATGCTTTATGAACACCTTGGGACCAAGACTTACTGGATAGTTTGTTGTGTCCATAAAAGTGGTCCATCATCCTGAAAATCTGGGGGAGCAAAATTTAATATTTTATGGCAAAAATTCAAAAGTATTTTGGTTGTACTTACCAATATAAGAAGTCCCAATATACAGTGGAACCTCGATTAACGAGTGGCTCTATTAACGAGTTTTTCCAGTAACGAGCAAGCCACTCGCAGCAAATTTGTCTCTATTGACGAGCTCGCCTCTATTAACGAGCAAAACCACATGGTGCTTCCTAGCATCTCACGGGTTCTCGCAAATTCTCGGACGGCAGTGTTGTTGTTGTATCGCACACGACAAGCATCCCTCTGGATTTATTTGAGCTTTTCTTTGGGTTTTTAGTGGTTTTGCGGCTACAATTTGTAACACACGATATCTTCAAAGAAGCTGCTTGCTAAAGATAGTGTTGTCAAGAGGAAGAAAGACACAATTACTGTGGATTTAAAGAAGGAAATTATAGCAAAGCATGAGTGTGGTGTCTGTGTGATTGATCTCACAAGGGAGTATGGCAGGTCCTCATCAACAATTTACACCATTAGTAAGGGAATGAGGAGGTAAGGGAGGATGCTGCCTCTTCCACTGAGATCAGGGAAGTGTTTGGAATGTTTGAAAAGGTGACCGCATTCTTGGAAAAGCTGCCCTGATAAAGCAGTGACAACCCGGTGTGTGAAAATGTTTAATTAATTTATCACTTTGTGATAACACTTTATGAAAGTTATGTCGCTTGAACGTGACACACTTTTTTCTCTTGAATGCACCCAAACACCGAGCTCAAGCGTCATTTGAGCAAATATTTCTATAAAATCCAATTCTTATCCGATCGACTTGGGGATTGTATACATGTTTGCCATGAAATTTCCATTTTCTTTAATAACCACATTGCCTATTTGAGAAAACGGCATTGTATTGTATCTTCGTGGTAAGACTATTATATTGTTGACACAACGAGTATAATCAACGTAGTTTTTTATTTGGTGCTGGTCTAACGCATCCTTGTGTGACATTTGAAATGAAATTTGAGTGAAATTCCCAAGAAGAGAGAGTCCGCCTGACTCAGAGGTGGATTCTCCTTCCACACCATAACCCCTCTCCTCCTTCCCACCTCTCCATCGTCTCCCTCAAGCCAGCAACTACTCTTCATCAGGTAAAGTAAATATTAAAACACTACAACAAAACATTTATATTTACATGTGCAGTATTATATTTACATAAAAAAAAGTCATACAGGTATGGATGTTTTTGGGAGTGGAACGGATTAAATTTATTTCCTTTATTTTAAATGTGGAAATTTGTTTCTTAAGACGAGTTTTCCAGGTAACGAGCTCGGTGCCAGAACGGATTAAACTCGTTAATAGAGGTTCCACTGTACTTACAAACTTGATTCTTATTGTTGATAGACCATTGTTATTTAAATGCCTGGAGCATACCTGGAGAGGGTTTGGGAGTAGAACTTCCTGAGCCCGACCCGAGGCCAGGCTCGACTTATGACTTTATATAAAAGTTTTCATAGTGCCACTGGCTTCCTTGCGCCTCTCTGAATGGGGGTGAAGTTCTGGCTCATGGTCCTCGGTATGCCAATAAGAACTCTTAACTGATGGCACCTGGTAGTCTGGCATTATATCAGTACAGTGTAGTAGCTTCAGGGAGCCACCAGGGCTCTCCCAGAAATTGGTGTTTCATTACATTCAATACTTTTTTTTTATGTTAAAGAATAGTGTTTGCAAATATTGTCTGTGCCAAGAGGTTTTCTGGCATTGGAGACTTAAAATATTCTTCAATTATCCTCATGAAATTGAACAATATTTAGTTTTGTTAGCTCTGTATTGTTGACAAGATCATTAAGTTTTACAATAAAAGAATGATACAAATTTAATTGTTCTTGGGGTTAATGTCTACTTAATTTCAGATGGCTACGCACAATAAGTGTTATCTTGTTTTTAAATAAGCAAGACCTGCTGGCAGAAAAGATCCGGGCAGGCAAGAGTAAGCTTGAAGAATATTTCCCCGATTTTGCCCGGTACCAGACCCCACTAGATGCCACTGTTGAACCTGAAGAGGTACCGGAAGTGGTACGCGCAAAGTACTTCATCAGGGACGAATTTCTAGTAAGTTAATATTAGTTTTAATGTAGTTCAATAACATGTGAGGGAGAGTACTAAAGACTGCATGCGAGTGAGAGTGGATGTCATCAGTAGAAGTGGGGGAAGAGTGTCGAGTGTGGGGGGAGGTCCAGAGCAGTGTGTCCAGAAAGGTAGGCATAACAAAACTGACCCCACATGTTAAGAAAAATAAAACCGAAAGCCAAACAGAGAGGTAGAACACACTCTCACACACACACACACTCTCACTCACTCTCTCTCTCTCTTCTTTCTTTCTCTCTCTCTCTCTCTCTCTTTCTCTCTCTCTTTCTCTCACTCTTTCTCTTTCCATTTTGTTTTTGTATTGTGTGCCTGGTGGGGGGTCTGCCTGCAAGGGCTATAGCTCCAATTATGATATTTTGGTGACCCTCTGCTAGGCCCCTGTGGTTGAACATGTCAATCAGGGTTTTCAGTGCTGTGATCATCCCCTTGTTGGCTTTGGGTCTAACCGGTTACCAACACCTTGCCCGGGTTTCCCGTTGTAGTCAGCCTTATGGCCCATGAAAACTGTTGGGGGTCGGTGGACCTATGAATGCGTCTTCTGAGTTCCAGCCCGCCTCATGCAGGTTTGAAGATTGCTGTGTGCAAAGAAACTTCTTCCGTTCTGCAGGTTTACCTGGTGGAGCAAGTTTGAGCGCCTTAACCCTTATGCTGCTATGGACCTAATAGCCTTCAACACTGCTGTATTCAAGAAAAAAAAAATTGTCTAACGCGTTCACTTGTGTTTCTTAGTCACAGAAAAAAAAATCGTAGGTGACATTTTGCCCGCAATAGGGCGAGGAAATCTGGCAAAATGTAGGCGTTGACAGAGCAAGCATCGGAGGCGGTTAGCTCTGCCCAAGGTGTCATGCGGGAGTTGCCACAAAGATATTATTACCTAATTATTTCAATGTCTTTGATTTATTTTTTCTTATTTTTTTGTGGTAATATTATTCAATAGTGTGATATATTTATATAATAAAATGTGTGAATCATCACTATACTCAAAGTATGGTGTGCATATTAGTGATTCAATTATTATGTTCATAAAACAATAAACAAATAATTGTGCTGTTATTACACTATATACACAGGTATACAGTGTAATACAGGTTCAAGACCCTGTATACCACTTTTGTCAGACCAATCTTGGAATATGCAGCACCAGCCTGGAGTCCATACCTAGTTAAACACAAGACAAAGTTAGAGAAGATTCAGCGTTATGCCACCAGGCTCGTCCCGGAACTGAGAGGAATGAGCTACGAGGAAAGGCTAAAGGAACTGAACGTCACGTCCCTGGAAAACAGAAGAGTAAGGGGAGACATGATAACCACCTACAAAATTCTCAGCGGAATTGACAGGATGGACAAAGACAAACTCTTCAGCACGGGTGGAGCAGGGTGCAGTGTGGGGGGGGGGGGGGGAGGAACAAGATGAACAACTGCAGGGGAAGGACAAAGGGAGTGAGGACAAAACCAAAATCAAGGGGACTAATGTCACCAAGTCCAGGTCCCTATAACCAAAACGGGACTATCTCGGGGCATCCGGGTGAGCAACCAACCTAGCTTGCTGCAGCAGCCTAAAACACGCATGCAATGCTGAAGCCACCTGCACAAGTACGTCAAGATTAGTGGATTGGGTGAATTGTGAGTACAAGCAAGAAACACCATTCGCAGGACTCTGGCTTGAAGGTGTCACTGACCCAACAGGCAGTATGACAGAGATACAACAGGTGATTGTCACCCTGAGACAAGGGGACAGAGCAACCCTCAAACTCGCACAAAACGAGATGAGACCCAGGACACATCCATCAGACCACTGAGCTTCAACATCCCTTAGACGCTCTGCTAAGGAAAGCCCAGGCAAGGTACACTGTACTGCTAACCAGCCCCTCAAACTACCAAGCGAACTACTAAACGCTGAACCTCCGGGACGTGTATACTCATGGGGACCTAGTGGAGGACCACCAAATATATATAATAGGTATCAACACCAAGGGGCAGACCCCCCACTAGGCAGAAAAACAAAAAGAAAAAAATGCAAGAGCCCGGCGGAACAGAGCCGGTCACTGTATTATGGTGAAAACACGCTGCACAGTACCTAACTTCCCTACCAGTGACAAAAACTGGTAGGTCTCCTCCTACCCTGAGACAAACAGTGGTGCATGAAACACCCCAGCTGACCCGAAGGGCGGGCAATCACTGAGCAGCAAAAAGACCCCACACAGGTAGACCCTAAGCGACTTGTGCAAGGGAACCCAAAGCCACAAGGGCAGTACTTATAGGGGCACCTAGGAAAGGTAACTCTAGGTACATGCAGCCCGAGTACTTGTGAAATTACTCCTGGCTCTCACATCACCACAGGACAGAACCACACCACAAGGTACAGCACTGGAAATTGTCTGGAGCCAAAATCGCACGACCGCCAGGTCTCACATCAGCCACAGAACTGGGGGTGGATAGCCGGTGTGAGGGGCCTGGGGCTCCCCCTCCCTGGGGAGCTGCCTAGACAGTGGCTCGGTGACAGTTGTGATGTTATGCTCATTTGCTCATTTCTAGTTTGGGAAGTTCTGTCCAGCAGTTTGGCTTTCAGCAGCCATGCTTATGTTTTAAATGCTAAAAGTAAAAAAATACAAAAATCTGAAAGTAGATTCACAAGTAAACTTGATTTGGGTGGTCTTAACAAATTTCAAATGGCCTCTTCATTCTAAGTACTGTACTGTAATTATTATTAAAGAATACTCACATTTTACGTTTTTCGTAATGCTATTGCATACTGTACTACGTATGTGAAACATAAGGGAGTGGGTATGGATTGGGGGCAGGCATGAGTAAGAGAGTGGGCAAGGATGTGGGGGCAGGCATGAGTAAGGGAGTGGTTAAGGATGGTGGGCAGGAGGAATAGATAAAGGTTTTTACATTTATTTTATGTCACATGTTAGATTTTTATTGACTTAATCTTTTCCCTTGCAGAGGATAAGCACAGCCAGTGGTGATGGGAAGCACTACTGCTATCCTCACTTCACATGCGCCGTGGACACTGAAAACATTCGCAGAGTGTTCAATGACTGCAGGGACATAATACAAAGGATGCATCTCAGACAATATGAACTTTTGTGATGGCCAGTAGGTGTGGGTACCGTGGGCGGCAACAGTATCGCTCCGTGCGAGCGACCAAGGCAGACAGGTTGGGCTGAGTGGGGTGGAGGATCCATGAGCACAGAGTAACCCTCCCCGTCTAGTCTCCTCAGAGGAGGGTCCTCAGTCCTTCAGGGTCTCCACTAGACCACAACAGCCTCATCTGCTGCTCACTCGTGGCACAACATCAACTAAACCTAACATCGTTCCCCAAACCCTTTCCCCCCTAAACCTCTTTATTTGATGAAATTTTATTATTTTTAAGACAGAATGCTACACTGTAATTGCACGCACAGATAAATGGTATTCCTATTCTAGATTATAATTTTATTTCCGAAACTCCTAAACTAAAACTGTTCTTGTCTTTTTACTTAAGCCATTACAGGTTTTTATAATTCTATTGTGATACAAATTGTAAGCAAAAAATCCTTTCTTAACCAGGGAGTACTGACTGCTTCACAGTACTCCGTGGGGAAGTTCCTTATGCTGCTAACACTTACTCTGTTCTCATTTAATTGTTGCCTTTCAAAATAAAATTTGAGTGATGGTTTTCTGGTTATTTAGCACATTCTTTCAAATATTAATGGGATACCTTTTATGAGGACAAAGACAAAATTGTCCGATATGTAAACTACTTAGTGTGTTGTATCCTTGTCAAGCAATCTACCCTTCTACCCTATTGGGTGAACTTGTTTCTCTCCACCACAACACCATACTTGGCCTCCTTGGTCTGGCCCCATCGACCAAAAAAACTAATTGTGGGCATCCCTTCCCCAGGTCCACTTGGCTCTCCCATGTGTACCCTACTTCCTGATCCCCAAGTTAGCAACTGCCCAAATCTTCAAAGTTAGTATTGTCAGTTGATTGTGTGCAAAATTAAAAATTTCTTAATTTAGAAATTTTTGTTTCACAAAAAATGTTCTGTCTCATGCTTTTGGTGTCCATATTTTTTGCTAATTTTATAAATATATATAATATAATATAATAATATATATATATATTATGTTGGTGGTATGTGAGCCTATATTTATGTGGAAGGGCAGAGAATGAGCTCAACCCTTCGCCCTATCAGTTTGTTGTGGACATGGCAATTTGATAAGTTTTATCTATTTATTTACCTATCAACACCAGAGATCTGCTTTCATGAATCTTCTTTGTGGAGGAAATCTCAGCTAGATGGAATTTATTTTGTACTTTTTTAATTTATTAAGTAATAAGTGCAACTAAGTAGACTGGTGACAATTATCTGTGTAGTCGTGATTGTGTTAAAACCCACCAAATTGTGCTATAATAACTGAGTTAATGATCAGTTCTGCAACCAAATAAGTTTTCCCAAGCTTTACCAATTTCACTACTGAGTAGTTTTTTTTTTTTTTTAACTTCTGTTTTAACCGCTGGCACCTCTCTCTTCTGACCCTATCACTTTCCCAGAGCAAAACTTACATTATTGCTCTTTCTTCTTTAGTTTACATAATAAAGCAATCTTAAAAAAGCTTGAAAGTGATGAAATGCCACATTTAATTTTGGTTTATATTATGTTGGCTGGCAAGAAGGTGAGAGGTGCTGGCACACTGGAGGGTGTGGATAACACTTTCCCATTGTGGGGACGAGTGAGAGCTCCTACAGAAGGTAGATACTACATAAGCTTTCTCAGGGCTAAGGTTGGAGTCTCCTGCTGTAGCTGGGCTCTCACTATCATTCACAATTTGCACACTGTATTAGCCAGCTGTGCATTGTTGGATGGCAGTAAAGTTTGCTGTCTTTGCTGTGCTGAATGTAGGATTTTTTGATGGAATATGAAATAATGTACATCTCTGAATGCTGATAAATGGTTTTTTTAATGCGTATTATGAAGATGTATGAACAACTTTGTGGGAAAAAGAAGTTTACTTGAAAAGTGCCAATATTATACCCTAGGCTGCGAGCATAGGTATAGCGGTGAGTTTAATGCACCATTATGAGAGTTTGGCCGGAGGAGTTGGACGGCACCGGGTGGTGGTGTTGTCGCAGGGTTGGTGCCGTGAGTCACTGTGGTCAGTCTAGTTGGTGGCTGGGGAGGAGGGTGCCATGGTCCCCTTGCTCCCTGGAGTCCATGGCCTCTCCCTCACTACCAGCCATCCCACAACATGATAGCCGTGGGAATGCTAGTTTGTGGTTATGAGGCCTCATTGGTCACTCACAGCCACACCAGCATCCATTACCACGCACCTTAGTTAGGTGGCTACCGCTGTGGTCCCTCTACTTTGCCTGTACAAATCCCTTGTTTAGTCTGCCCTCAGGGCATAACACCAGCTTGTGTTTTATGTTAGAGGCTTGTGTAGTGCGCCTAGAACACCAGATTGGTTTAGCTGCGCTTCAAACCCAATAGTCTCCAGGGAGCATTACCCCCCAATTCTTCCCTTACCTTGTTCTTCCCCACTTTCCCTTCTCACCCATACATCCTTCTCCACTTTAATTCTAAACCTGAAAAACCTAATCCGACAGCCTTTTCCTGGGTGGCAGGTAGTGTATAGGCCTTCCTGGCTGTAGCTCCTGCTACCAGACCCGTAGAGACCAAGCCCAAAACTGGTAGCCAACTTGGATGGAAGGAAAATTCTTCACAGAATTTATCTTTCAATCTGATTCCTTCTATCGTCACAATCCTCCCCATGTAGTTATAACCTATAAAAAGTGTTACAGAAAAAATTAGAATACCTGATTTTATGTAATTGAATGTGTTCGGTTAATGTATACCAGCTCTGTGTATTGCTTTGTATTATGGCTAAAGTGTAGGCATACCTTAACAGTGAAGCAACAAGATCAGCTGCAGGAGTGCTGTGGGTGCAGGGTCAGTCGTCCTGCCCTCACATGCTGGCCAATGGCCTCATCAATATGACTGGCCAGTTTGGGCGACTGCCCCCTTATGAGCTAGGTGCCTAGATGGAGTTGCAGAGGCTCGGCCACACCCCGGGGGCTGCCCGTGGGCGGCCAACTTGTCTCGTCTCCCAGTGTTGGTGGCCCACTCACCCCCAGCTGCCCCCGCAGGTCAGCCTGCCCATGCACCCCCATTTACACCCTTCTCGTCACACCTGCATCACCAGAACAAGTGGAAGCGGTTACTCGGATCCTGGGTTAACATTACTATCCTAGCACGTCAAATATATATTTCAGAAGTATATTTCAGATGAATTTATTCAAATGCTGCGTAATGGTCACTGTAAATTGTGTAATTGTGAATAAATTTACAATGTCTTATTTACAAGAAGCTTATGTATTTTCATTTTCCAAATTATCCTTAAAAACCATAAGATATTTATGTATTTTAATTTTTCAAGTACGCCCCATTTTTTATTATCCTTAGAAAAGAAAGTCAAGTACTGTAATTATCAAAAGAGGGCACCAAGGCGGGGAGACTGTCACCTTCAAAGCTGCAGGATAACCAAAAGCACTAAATATCACAAAGGATGAAAAAGAGAACTAAAGTGCATCATTTGAATCATACCATAGAATAGAATGGAATAGCAATGTAAAGGATTTGGGTGTACTCGTGTCAAAAGACCTTACCTTTAAAGAACACAATAAAGTAGCTGCCACAACTGCTAGAAAAATGACAGGTTGGATAACAAGAACCTTTCAAACAAGCGATGCCGTACCAATGATGATACTTTTCAAGACACTGGTGCTCTCTAGAGTGGATTACTGTTGCACAATAACAGCCCCGTTCAAATCTGGAGAAATTGCTGACGTGGAGAGCGTGCAGAAATCCTTTACTGCTAGAATCTACTCGCTAAATTATCTAAATTATTGGGACCAATTAAAATGCTGAAATCTCTATTCTCTTGAGATTAGGCGGGAGAGCTACATCATAATTTACACGTGGAAAATATTAAGAGTGGCTGGTCCCAAATCTGAACACAGAAATAACACTAAAACCAGAGGGCATGGCAAGATGTGCAGCATACCCCCGTTGAAAAGCAGAAATGCAATAGGTACACTTAAGGAGAACTCTATCAACATCAGAAGCCCAAGACAGTAACCACCTCTACTCTAGACCACGTTTACCACTCTGTTTACAAAAGTGAATTTTCTTATATTCCTCCGGCAGCTTTGTTTCGTTAGTTTAAATCTATGACCTCTTTTTCTTGAAGTTCCGGGTCTCAGGAACTCTTCCCTATCAATTTTATCGATTCCTATTATTATTTTGTATGTAGTGATCATATCGCCTCTTTTTCTTCTATCTTCTAGTTTTTGCATATTTAATGCCTCTGACCTCTCCTCGTAGCTCATGTCCAAGCTCTTGTGTCTCGGAGAGACTGCAGGATCTGTGTGAGGTCAGTAGAATTCCCATTTTGCAATTCTTTTACCATATCGAGGCACAGTCGATTAGTCTGTCGCACCACAGTCGCATCTGGGATCCTCTTGGACGTAGGTTCGAACCCTCATCACGGCCCTTGTGGATTTGTTCATTTGAAGCATCACGGTATTGTGACTTGTGCAACCCATCCTCGACTTGAAGTCCATTATATCCAGCGGTCGATCCCACAGACGCAGTCATAATTGTGCATAAATAGGTTAGGTTAGGTTAGGTGTTTAGGTTCTGTTGGCGATTATTTGTATTTGTAGTACGTGAGTGAATAATTTGCTGCATTGTGGTTGAAACAAAAATTTTTAGTGAAGCTAAAAAAGTGTTCCAGAAGTGTTCGAACGTCAACAGTTGTGAGTCATATATAAACAATTTTTCATTCATAAACAGGGGGTTTGGTGGGTGCATGGAATCACTTTTGGGTCTTGTTTGGAGGACGGGCTGGTGAAGCATTTACAGCGTTATAGTTCGAATAAAAGCCGTCAGCGAAACTCAGGGGACGCAAGGGGTTCGGCGGCTGGACTAACAAGCTTGGATCTGTGTCCACTAGGACGGGCTATTCGATTACCAGTTATGGTAGCTGGAAACGGCTCTGTTGAGGTTACGTTTTGGCAACACACGTTTAACTCACGGGCACTTAATGGAGCTCGGCCCTGACCCTTATTGTCCAAGCTGCATTGTCCTTCTTATGGCGGTGCATATCCTTGTTGATTGTCCTGACTTCCAGGACGTGCGTACGTCTTGCTTCCCAAAGTTTGAGATTCTATCGACTGTCCCTAGATTGAATCCTTGGTGAATCAGATACCTTTGATATCGCTCGCCTTATGCCTTACCTACCTTGCTTTGATTTGGAGGGCCAAGGCTCTGACCAGGCCTCCTGGTTGGTGATCTTGTCAACCAGGCGTTGGACGCGGCTGCTCACAGCCTGGTTGATTAGGTATCATTTGGAGGTGGTTACCGATGTGGGCTTTACCGATGTGTGGATGGGTTGCACAAGTCACAATACCGTGATGCTTCAAATGAACAAATCCACAAGGGCCGTGATGAGGGTTCGAACCTACGTCCAAGAGGATCCCAGATGCGACTGTGGTGCGACAGACTAATCGACTGTGCCTCGATATGGTAAAAGAATTGCAAAATGGGAATTCTACTGACCTCACACAGATCCTGCAGTCTCTCCAAGACACAAGAGCTTGGACATGAGCTACGAGGAGAGGTCAGAGGCATTAAATATGCAAAAACTAGAAGATAGAAGAAAAAGAGGCGATATGATCACTACATACAAAATAATAATAGGAATCGATAAAATTGATAGGGAAGAGTTCCTGAGACCCGGAACTTCAAGAACAAGAGGTCATAGATTTAAACTAACGAAACAAAGCTGCCGGAGGAATATAAGAAAATTCACTTTTGTAAACAGAGTGGTAAACGGTTGGAACAAGTTAGGTGAGAAGGTTGTGCAGCCAAAACCGTCAGTAATTTCAAAGCGTTATATGACAAAGAGTGCTGGGAAGACGGGACACCACGAGCGTAGCTCTCATCCTGTAACTACACTTAGGTAATTACAAACCAGGGTTTTACACAATTCTCCCTTGCACCCGGGCTCTGTCAACAAGCTACTCTACCTCTTCGCCCTTACTTCATTACATACAGAAATCACAATAGCGTGATGCATCAAATGAACAAATCCACAAGGGCCGTAAAGAGGATTCGAACCTTGGGTGTAATGAAGGTTAAGAATGAAGGTTCGAACCCTCATTCGAGGGTGTAATGAAGTAAGGGCAAAGAAGTAGAATAGCTTGTTGACAGAGGCTTAGTTTGTTAACAATGTTTGGCCTGATGGAAACAGAAACAGGTATCGGAATATTCACAAGAGACCGGTGGACCAGCCCCCAAGAGACCGCTGGACCAGCCCCCCAGGAGACCGTTGGACCAGCCCCCAAGAGACCGTTGGACCAGCCCCCAAGAGACCGTTGGACCAGCCCCCAAGAGACCGTTGGATCAGCCCCCAAGAGACCGTTGGACCAGCCCCCAAGAGACCGTTGGACCAGCCCCCAAGAGACCGTTGGACCAGCCTCCAAGAGACCGTTGGACCAGCCTCCAAGAGACCGTTGGACCAGCCTCCAAGAGACCGTTGGACCAGCCCCCAAGAGACCACTAGACCAAAGGCTAAAATATAACCATAATATTACTCATGAGGGTATGTTTTCGTTTGATTTTGAATGTACTGGAGAGGGAAGGCAGTAGCATAGTGTGTATATGAAGGTGAGACTGCGGTAAGACGTTGCTCGCGTCAGCCTCTCAAGGTTATGCCTGTCATGCATGGAGGGAACATGTGGTGTGGGTGACCACTTGACTCTTAATGTCACATGGGTGCGCGCGCACCCTCCTAGTCAAGCAGATATGCTTGGCTTACCTAGTAATACTGCACTGTTAGTGATCTGGGCATTCTTGGATCTGTTTATCAACATTTGGGCTATCATGATCTCTTATGCTTTATTGAACAAGCATATATATATATATATATATATATATATATATATATATATATATATATATATATATATATATATATATATATATATATATATATATATATATATATATATATATATGCGAACAAGCTTGAATGGTCCCCAAGCATATATGCGAATGAAAACTCCACACCCCAGAAGTGACTCGAACCCGGACCGCCAGGAGCACATTGCAACTGTTGTCGCGGTGCCTTAAACCACTCGACCATCATTGAATGAAAAAATTAAGTGATTTGATTAAATAGCTTTGAGCCTTGAGCTTTGATGTCCAAAGAGCTTGGAGAAGATGTGGGAGGAAGAAGGATGGGGCGGTGAAATGTTTTTTGGAAGAGGTTCTATATACCTCACATAATGTGAGGTAGTTTGATTTTGTTCCTGTAGGTGATGCGCCTGTTGCATTCCATGGCCAGGGTTTTTCTAGTATTGCTGTTGCCATTGAAGACTACCTCCTGAGAGATAAAGAGGCAGTAACAAGGTTTGCTTCTATCTGTTGTGCCTGGTATGACCGAGGGTACTGGGTGAATGTAGGTGACTTCCAGCTCTTCAATTTCAGTGTCTGGTGCAGATGCTTGCTGTGGTGCTGCTGTAACCGGGGCCTGCGTCAATGGAGTGGGTGCCTGAGGTGCTGTTTCAATTGATGTTCCAGATGCAGCCGGTGTTGGGGTTTGTTCTGGTTCCGTGATTGATGTTGCTGCCGTTCGGCGTTGCTGGAGTGCTGTCCATGAATGAGGGCTGTCTCTCATCCTTTGTTTTTTAGATGGAGGAGCCTGGGGTGACGTCTTTTGGCCTGTCAGTTTCGTCAGTTTCTTGTTAGTGAGAGAGAGAGAGAGAGAGAGAGAGAGAGAGAGAGAGAGAGAGAGAGAGAGAGAGAGAGAGAGAGAGAGAGAGAGAGAGAGAGAGAGAGAGAGAGAGAGAGAGAGAGAGAGAGAGAGAGAGCAGAGAGAGAGAGAGAGAGAGAGAGAGAGAGAGAGAGAGAGACAGAGAGAGAGAGAGAGAGAGAGAGAGAGAGAGAGAGAGAGAGAGAGATACAGAGATACAGAGATACAGAGACATACAGAGAGATACAGAGACAGAGAGAGACCAGGCAGGGATCGACCCACCTGGCTTAACATGGGCCTCACGTGTCAGGGCTGGAGGGGCGACGAAGCCTAGTGAGGTTAGTGGGTGACGGTCGCCGAGAACACATTCTATAATACTTTTTAGCATCAAGTATATTTGGGTCGTAGATCGTTACGCATAGACCCTATACGTGCGATATGAATAATACAACGTTATCAGAACAGAACGAGGTATACATAGTAGCATATTTGAGAGAGAATCCTTATGGTTATACATACTTTCCTGTTATATGGAAAAAATATGATTTCTT